GAAATGAAAATAAAATTGTCTACCGAAAAAAATCGTTGTAGGAGTGAGGTTGTGGTTGCAAATATCAGCACACTCCCAGAGTTCGGCAGAATATTATTTAACCATTTTGATCGAGTATGGAATAGATGAGTGTGTGTTCCGATAGTATGCCTTACTTACTGTCCTATTTGTCTTTATTGGATATTGAATACACATGCATAATCCGGCATATTATATTTCTTCAATTGTGAAATCCAAACGTGTACTACTAAACTAAGTCAGTCCATCTACTGTACTGTCATGAATCTAAGAATAAAAATTCACATGATATAAATTCTTTGTCTTGTAAAAATGAAATTGAAAAAGCAGAGCTGAAAATTCCCTGAAAGCCTAACTACTGGTAACAATACAATCCCAGTAAGGTAAAAACGAGTGGCCTTTCCCGCCATTCTTTCTAAATCTCGTGATTTACTAGCAGACTTGATTATCAAGTCTATTTCTTTAATGACGATTTCACTACCGTAATGGAGACCAAAGTCTTCAAGAACAGGCACATACAATATGTCATATATAGAAAGAATAACAAAGAGTTTATGGTTTCATAACGTGTGACATCAGGTCAGTTTAATAATGATAAAAAATGATGTGTCTTCTGCCAAACAGCAGTGATAGTTTACTTTCATTTTGAAAGAGGTCACAGTCTTTCATTTCACAGTTCCACACGTCATGATGAATGAAACAAATAAAATGATTGTTGCTACCGGACAGTAAATTTAACATGTTTATTGAAATGTAAGACATTAATCTATGTCTGGAAGAACCTGAATGCCAGTTTTATTTCATTCCATTTAAATGAACAATATTTTCTGTTAATTCTCGGAGAGTGTAAAGGGCCATTTTAATCCATAATCTTCAGATTTCTATGTGAATGGAATTTCGAGATATTATATTGTCAGTACTAGTAGACCTATATATAATCATTAAGATTATTACAACTACAAGTAAATATTTATTTATTACAGAAAAAATAAATATCAAGTCTGGGGTAAAATAGGGGTGGAATGATTTTTATCTTTCTATACACGAAGTATTAACATTAAATCCTTCAAAAGTTAAAATTGTAATGTGTACAGTCAATCAATATTGAATACATATTTTAATTTTTAAACCTGTCCCAAATGGCTAGAACTTAGAAATAAAGGCATTTCGGGTGGGGTAGTGTACGTATGTTTTGTTAATATTTATTGGGCCCAAAACTATATGTTAGAGCCTACAACTTTCATGAATGGCGTCTACCAGTGGGTCCTATTGGCCTACAACTTTTCTTGACCAATTTTATACACTGGTTCGTTGATTTCTGTAGTAGTGAAATTGTGGTCTTTTCTGAGGTGACGGTATAAGTTGGAGCGCCACTTGTACCGGCGGCCGCATTCTGAACAATGTTGAATGTGCATGATGAAATCTCTGTGTTTTTAAGTATGATCATTAATCCCTCCTGGTGAGCTGGTTCCTAAAAGTGAATCAGACTTTCTTCTTGTCTTAGCCGTTTGTTTAAATTACGTGACGTTGTAGTTAGAATAATGACGTCAGGTTTGTGACTGGATTCCTGGAAATAGTTGCTGACCGGGGTTTCTTTATTCCGTCTAATGTCGCTGAGTTGATTGAGGAATCTTTTGTTGCAATTATCACTGGTTTGGCCAATGTATTGTTTGCCACAAAAGTAGCAAATAATAACGTAAATAAGCAGTTTAAGTGTTCTTTGATGGTGAAAATAAATTAATTTATAATCTACCAGGAGTTTGTCTATCTTCTCTGGTTAAAGGGGTTGCCTTTCTACCTATTTCATCTTCTTCCTGAACCCCTTGTTTATCGCTGTTGTTGTAGTCTTCTACCACTTTTTTACCTGTTTCATCTTACTACGAACTGCATCTTGGTTGATCCTCTCATATCAAAAGAGACTTTTTGAGTGCCCTTGCGCCACACTCTATCTGGTCTTCATCCCGAACGCAAACGCCGCAGAGACGAGGATAGTCCCATGGGCGTACGGGGAAATTATTGACTGGAGGGGCGGTGGTGGTTGGTGCCCAAAAAATGTAGTTAGGTTCTTAGTATGTTACATAATAATAATAAATTCGCTGTTAAATTGGACACATTCAAAAAAAAAATATCTTTTTTTATACAACTTTTGCAAAATACAATTGTGAGCCCAAATTTTCCCAGCATTTGGTGCCCAAAATGGAGGGGCGGCCGCCCCCCGAGCCCCCCCAGCTCGTACGCCTATGGATAGTCCTATACCTTTCTTTTAGGCTACCACTTTACAATCTAATGCACGCTTACCTGACCTTTTGGTTCCTTACTTTCGAGCTTTACGCCGACTACGAATCAGCGAATTTAAATGCACTAATTCTTTTATTTACATTAAAACAGCTGCCATCCAGTACTATAGAAAATCGTGAAAATTCGGTAACCTTAAAGTCCTTAAACACTGTGTATCAATTTAAAGTCAATCGGATATTAACTTTAGCCTCTTGAGCGTCCACATGACTTTCAAAGTGATCAAGGGCCATAACCATGGCAGTAATTATTGGAAATCGCTGATTATCAATAAGCTTCTTCGTCTCATGACCTTAAACACTGTGTATAAATTAAAAGTCAATCGAACATTAACTTTAGCCTCTAGAGCGTCTACAAGATTTTTCAAAGTGATCAAGGGCCATAACTCTGGCTGTAATTATCAGAAATCGCTGAAAATCAATAAGCTTCTTTGTCTCATGACCTTAAACACTATGTATAAATTTAAAGTCAATCGAACATTAACTTTTGCCTCTAGAGCGTCCACAAGATTTTTCAAAGTGATCAAGGGCCATAACTCTGGCTGTAATTATCAGAAATCGCTGAAAATCAAAAAGCTTCTTTGTCTCATGACCTTAAACACTGTGTATAAATTTAAAGTCAATCGAACATTAACGTTTGCCTCTAGAGTGTCCACAAGATTTTTCAAAGTGATCAAGGGCCATAACTCTGGCAGTAATTATCGGAAATCGCTGAAAATCAATAGGCTTCTTCGTCTCATGACTTTAAACACTGTGTATCAATTTAAAGTCAATCTGATATTAACTCTAGCCTCTAGAGCGTCCACAAGATTTTTCAAAGTGATCAAGGGCCATAACTCTGGCAGTAATTATCGGAAATCGCTGAAAATCAATAAGCTTCTTCGTCTCATGACTTTAAACACTGTGTATAAATTTAAAGTCAATTGGATATTAACTTTGACCTCTAGAGCGTCCACAAAATTTTTTGAAGTGATCAAGGGCTGAAAATCAATAGGCTCGTCGTCTCATGACCTTAAACACTGTTTATAAATTTAAAGTCAATTGGATATTAACTTTAGCCTATAGAGCGTCCACATGCAATTGTGAATGCCGGACGGACAGACGGGGGCGACAACAATATACGACCACACTTCAATGTGGGCGTATAAAAATGATGATGCAATAGTCAAGTACAGGTTTTTCATTTTGTTTGAAAAAAAATATAGTAGGCAAGAAAGTCTATAGGCCTAAATGTTTAACGAAATAATAACCTTTGACCTTTCTCCGCTCACCCAGTATCGCTTCGTTTAACTGCTCGAAAGGCCGGCCGCATAAGTGTATCCATCGTCTGGCTTTATCGCGTGTTCTTCCAAGCTTTGGAAAAGGAATAAAGGTTATCCCTCCTGTCAGTCTCTCCGGGTATCTACTAACCCAATTACACGTACCCCAAGCACATCTCTTTACCATTATGACGGGTTGATGGTTAACGTCTGCTGGAAAAACGTTTATTTACGTCTGGCGGGCTTAGTTGACGGGCATAATGATGCACAAAATACAGCTGGCTCGCGCAGAAGGGAAAACGTTTTTTGATTGGTTGATATATTATTTTGATTGACAGCTGCGATCGGTCAATTTGGGTCATCGATCTCTATTGATATTTATAATCCACAGCCTTCCCTTCCTGAGTTATACCCCATTGCTGAAAACCTATAGGTTTTAACAGATTATTTTCCAAATTTTGGTTGGAAGCAATGGGGACATAAGAGGATGAACCCTAGAGATTAGATTTCTTCAATGATCCTAGTTCCTTATCAAATTTGCTCAACATCCAAGTTTTCCTTTGTGAAAAGCTGCAGTTGAGGCAATGCTGCAGTGTGGGCGTATTCCATGCTTTGTGTGGCTATCTTATTCCAATGTCCTGTGCGCAATGGAGGAAAATTGTGCTCAAAAAACTTTATTTTGAGCTTGCTCTTCTAATTCCAACTGCATGTGCTCTAAAAATCTGTAGAGTGACCATTAGCAACCTGGCTTGAAAGATCATGATCATTTTGCTTATGGTATATCAATATGTAATTTTTTAGCCTAAACACATGCATCCAGTAACACAGGACTACAGCAACTCTCAGAAAGAATTTAGTATATTTATTTTTGTTTTACAATGCTCTACCCCTGAGTGTTCCAACTTTGGATTTATATTTAGCCTTTTAACCCTCACAGGTGTTACCTCAACACCTTGTCTATATACTATCCCTTTATTGTTATGACAAGTAACAATGTTACAAACCAACCAAAGGCATCCTAGTTAGCAAAATTCGGGACACTAGCACTTCAGTCTAAATGATCAGTTCAGTTGTCAAACTTCTATATAACCCCGGTAAGCGAGCTACTGATCCCAGTAACAAATTCGCAAACCCCGCCAAGAGGCCAACCCCGGTAACCCCGCCAAGTTGTCAAATCTCTGTACAACCTCGGTAAGTCAGCTACCGACCAGCCAATTAGTAACAATGGAAACCCCACCAGGGTTTCGGAATAGTATAAATAAAAACACTCGCCAAGTGAGTCCAATCAGTCTTATCTGTTATAATTGTTTTGAGCTATAACCTATTTTGCAAGCTTGAAGAAATTTGAATGAAATATTGAGTTTCTACCAGTGGTATAATCCAGTGATTTTAAAAATATTAAGGTTGAGAAAATAAACCTACTACTTACAGTTAAACATACTTTCAGTTTATGTTGAGTTATAGACCAAATCATAAAAGCTATAGATGCTGAAATAATCAATAATTCATGTATGAATTTTACATTTCAACATTGCGATATTTCAGTATTCATATTGCGAGATCGAGAGAGAGAGAGAGAAATGGGGTTTAACGTTCACTCGACACAAACTAGGTCATTTCAGGACTAACATATGGTTCACTTTTATTTCAATAATTTGCTTGCGCGTAGGGGTCTTTAGCAGTGGGAGGAAACCAGAGGACCCGGAAAAAACCCACGAGGTTGGACAGACGACGCTACTCTTTGTCACGTACAACCCGGCAATCGAAACCACGCCAGTTGACTCAATGACAGACTTTATGATACAGCGCGCATGCGCTAACCATTCGGCCATCCAATCCCCCTAATAATAGGCAGCGATTCGTATGGATCCATTTTGTGTATATGTATGGAACATTTTGTTGTCCGTGAATGGAAAATACTTAAAATATTGTGTAATGGCAAATGGGCTGCCAGGTGTAACCACGTAGCAATTCTTACAAAGGTTACAGATAAAATTGAAGTAGAACAGCGACACAGGCGTGTCAGCATCGTCACGTTTGGGCAGTAGATAAGAATCAAAGCATTTTGAAAGTTATAATGACTGTCCATTTATTTGGGGTTTTATATGGTATGAGGGTCAGTTCATCCCACAACCGTTTCACCTTGGGCTATTTCATCCCCCTTGTTATTATAATAGTCAATTAACTGAGTTGTACTTATAAGTTATTGTTAAATAAACTGTTAAACACTTGCTTATAGTTAAAGATGGGTTCCCAGAAAAGTATTTATCGGGTGGTTATTTCCAATAGAAGTATGGCAATTTTGGTATATATGGAAAGTAGAGATATCCAATCTTACTAGAAAAATACTGGATTCCCCGAAAAACACTCATGGAGTGTGTACAGGACAAAAATGTAAGGGTTCCCCTAATCGACACCCCGACGATTAGGAATTTCTGCATGCGTGATGTAAAAAGTCACACGCGAATATTGAGCGCTTGATGTACAAGTTGATCAACTTTATGAAGAGTTAGACGTACAACACTTTCTGAGATAAAAATGACGGAAAAAGACGTGGGTAGTGGATAATCTGAGAATTTAATTAGGATTCGATATTTGTAATAAATAGTAAGCGATTAAGTGCTAGTCCACGAGAAAACCATGCAGAAATCGAGAAGGTGAGGGGTCGGCCGATTCCATTTATATTCACAGGTCATGCCCATGAGACTACTCGATAGCCAAAACCGCCGATCTCAGAAATTGACCATAGCTGATATACGGCAAACAGGTGATTTTTGGGGCTTTTTGCTCATTTTTTCGTCAATTTTAGGCAATGTTAGCTGCTGTTTTTCAGGTTGTAAATGAGTACTTATGAAACAAATGATGATTCGATATATGAGGCTAGGTAGTAATGTTTCAAAAGATAGGTTGCCAGGCAACGAAACATACGCCCACAGCAGCTATATCGTCCGGGCAGTCAACAAGGGTTGTCGCATATGTTTACTTTTTTCGGTAATGAAACATTTATAATACATTCAAATCTGACTAGGAGTAACAACTCATTAAGTAATTATCAGAAAACCATTAGAATTTGTTTGGTTTTTATAAAGTTCTGTCCCAAGCTAATGTTTAGTATACAAAACTTTTAACATCATGGATTTAGCTGTTCAAGTCATAAAAATTAATTGAAAATCAATATACTTGTTCATCTCAAGACCTTAAACTCTGTGTACCAATCTGAAGTCAATCGGATGATAACTTTAGCCTCTAGAGCGACACAAGATTTTTCAAACTGATCAAGGGCCATAACTCTGTCAGTAATTATCCGAAATCGTTGAAAATCAATATGATTCTTCATCTTATAACCTCAAACACTGTGTATAAATTTAAAGTCAATCGGATATTAATTTTAGCCTCTACAGCATCCAAAAGATTTTTCAAAGTGATCAAGGGCCATAACTCTGGCAGTAATTATCTGAAATCGCTGAAAATCCATAGGCTTCTTCGTCTCATGACCTTAAACACTGTGTATAAATTTGAAGTCAATCGGATATTATCTTTAGCCTCTAGGGCGTCCACAAGATTTTTCAAAGTGATCAAGGGCCATAACTCTGGCAGTAATTATCGGAAATCGCTGAAAATCAATAGGCTTCTTTGTCTCATGACCTTAAACACTGTGCATAAATTTAAAGTCAATCGGATATTAACTTTAGCCTCTAGAGCGTCCACAAGATTTTTCAAAGTGATCAAGGGCCATAACTCTGGCAGTATTTATTGGAAATCACTGAAAATCAATAGGCTTCTTCATCTCATGACCTTAAACACTGTGTATAAATTTAAAGTCAATCGGATATTAACTTTGACCTCTAGAGCATCCACAAGATTTTTTGAAGTGATCAAGAGCCATAACTCAGGCAGTAATTATCGAAAATCGTTGAAAATCAATAGGCTTCTTCGTCTCATGACCTTAAACACTGTGTATAAATTTGAAGTCAATCGGATATTAACTTTGACCTCTAAAGCGTCCACAAGATTTTTTGAAGTGATCAAGGGCCATAACTCTGGCATCTCAAGACCTTAAACTCTGTGTACCAATCTGAAGTCAATCGGATGATAACTTTAGCCTTTAGAGCGTCACAAGATTTTGCAAAGTGATCAAGGGCCATAACGTTGGCAGTAATTATCGGAAATCGTTGAAAATTAATAGGCTTCTTCGTCTCATGACCTTAAACACTGTGTATAAATTTAAAGTCAAACGGATATTAACTTCAGCCTCTAGAACGTCCACAAGCAATTGTGGATGCCGGACGGACGGACGGACGGGCGGACGGGGGCGACGACAATATACGACCACATTTCAATGTGGGCGTATAAAAAATGAAAAAAGAAAAATCTATCTTTCCACTGAGGGGTGCCATTTGGTTATTCCTGAAGGGTATAAATCGAACCCTATAAAGTACCCAACTTTATGCCCCGATATCTCCACTGCCGTGGGGTCCCATGAATTATTTTTGTGGTTGTTAGTAAACGGGTACAAGGTCTCTCGATTAAAAAAATATAATTTCATATATCTTCATACGCATGCGCGATAACATTGTCTACGTTTTGACAATTTTGATATTGGATCATCTGATACTTATATGTTCTAATCAATATAGTGACAAAATATGGATGCTAAACGACTCGATAGAATCGGCAATTGACAGACTAGCGTTTCGAACCCGCTCAGGCAGTCGTAGAACCCGCTCTGTCAAAACTATCAGTTCTGGTATCCAGCCATCCAAGATGGTGGCTGCTGTATGTGGTTTTTCGCAGTTTTCTACTTCAAAATGCGGCGTTTTCAATGTGTATCCTAAAGAGACTGAGCATGTTTTATTGAAAAAGTGTACTAAAGACATCAGAGGGTATCTATCATTGGTAGCAGTGGATTTATTATGCGGACGCTAAATACTAAGAGTGATTACTGGTGATATCTGAGGGAGCGTTTCATTGATATTTACTATTTACCAATGATAGTAACATCGTCCTGCTCATGATTTACTATTTATCAATGATAGTAACATCGTCCCGCTGATATTTACTATTTTTCAATGATAGTAACATCGTCCCGCTGATGTTTTCTATTTGTCAATGATTATAACACCGTTCTGTTGATATTTACTATTTGTCAATGATTATAACACCGTTCTGATGATATTTACTATTTGTCAATGATAGTAACACTGTTCTACTGATATTTACTATTTGTCAATGATTATAACACCGTCCTGATGATATTTACTATTTTTCAATGATAGTAACATCGTCCCGCTGATATTAACTATTTTTCAGTGATAGTAACACTGTCCTGATGATATTTACTATTTTTCAATGATAGTAACATTGTTCCGCTGATATTTACTATTTGTCAATGATAGTAACACCATTCTACTCATATTTATTATTTGTCAATGATTATAACACCGTCCTGATGATATTTACTATTTGTCAGTGATAGTAACACCGTCCTGATGATATTTACTATTTTTCAATGATAGTAACATCGTCCCGCTGATATTTACTATTTGTCAATGATAGTAACACCGTTCTGCTGATATTTACTATTTGTCAATGATTATAACACCATCCTGACGCTATTTAATATTTTTCAATGATAGTAACATCGTCCCGCTGATATTTACTATTTGTCAGTGATAGTAACACCGTCCTGATGATATTTACTATTTTTCAATGATAGTAACATCATCCCGCTGATATTTACTATTTGTCAATGAAAGTAACACCGTTTTACTGATATTTACTATTTGTCAATGATTATAACACCGTCCTGATGATATTTACTATTTTTCAATGACACCGTCCTGTTCATATTTACTATTTTTCAATGATAGTGACACCGTCCTGTTCATATTTACTATTTTTCAATGATAGTAACATTGTCCCGCTGATATTTACTATTTTTCAATGATAGCAACATCGCCCCGCTGATATTTACTATTTGTCAATGATTATAACACCGTCCTGATGATATTTACTATTTTTCAATGATAGTAACACTGTCCTGCTGATAGATCCTGATATACACTGAGGAGATTAGATTCATGAGGTGCTTCCACTATTTTATCCTTCTGATATTTTGTAAAAATTTATGAATGTAAATTGTGTATGATATTTTGCGAGGGTTCATGAATGTAAATTTTGTATAATACTGTATTTGATATTTTGTAAGGAAAGGACTCATTGAATGTCTCTGATATATTGTGAAAAATTATGAACGTAGTTTTTGTATTACATTTGATATTTTGTGAGGGTTCATGAATGTAATTAGATGTGATATTTTGTAAGGATTAGTATTCCCTCCCGAAAGTAAATTTTGTATATATTTGATATTTTGTGAGGATTAAGGATTGACTCACGGGGTCAATAACGGGCATTGCCCAATTTAGTATTTAATCTGCAATTTGTATATTCTTACCTCAGAGAGCAATCTGCGCTTTCTGCTTACGTAC